TTAAGTGTCTAAACTCTTCCAAGTGTTATAATGTAGAACTATTCTAGGCATCAAGATACTAGATATGAAAATGTCAAAGCAAACTGCCCTTAATGTGCATCACTTATTAACAGGAAATAATAAAAAGTATATGGACAAAGCAGTCAAACAACAGCATTTTTCTTCAAGGCTATTTAAAACATTCAATATTGAAAAATTATTAAATATGGGATTTTCTGTACGTTTTGTGAATATCCAAAGAATATTTTATATGCACAAGATAAATTCAACTATAAAAGCATAAGATGAGTTTTTTTTTAATAATGAGTAAAAAACTCTGACAAGTTTGGTTTTCTAACTACAGTAATATATATATATAATAATACATAGTATAATATATAAAATTTACTAGTAATTTTTTTTTGATGATCAATCCTTCCCCCTTAATCCCCCACATATTTCAGAATCAAAACACTATTATCTGCAGATCAATAGAAACAACCATGCACTGAAGGTCAGAATATGAACTCTAGACGCTAACTAGTTGGGCAAATTATCACACCTTTCTGGGCCTTATTTTACTCATCTTTAAAGTGGAAGGATTGGAAAAAATGATCTCCATGACCTTCCCAACTCTGACATTCTGAGAAGCCATATTTGAAAGTCTTCCATTTTTGGAGAGATGCAAATTTTTATGTTACTAAAGAAATGGGCCCATCTCACACTGAAGGGAGACCTCAGTGCTCTTTTCCACAGAAGGGCACTTCCCTCCCAAGAGCTGCCTAAGTGATCAGCTACATACTTTCTGAAATCCAAATAGCAAGTGGATTCGCAAAAAGGATCCTACACCAATTTGAATGTGTTTTATCAGTAGAAGCATAAATGAAGAAAACATCTTCTCCATCTCAATCACTGTAATTGTAAGGTTGTAAATTCCATACAACCTTATCTTCTAAACAGCATTTGAATAATAAGAAAGTGTAATTTTACCTGCAAATCCTGAAACTTACTATTTCACTAAAAGAAAACAAAAAAGACACTAGAGGGTATCCCTTTAAATGTTCCTTATTAATTATTTTTAAAGTGTATAGAAAGGATAATTGCATGGCTTCAGAAAATGCACTGATCAAATGATTTTCAAGAAATAACTGTTTTAAAAATGTGACTCCTGTACACACGTTTATGGATTTTGAATAAATCTATTCAATGTCAATATACTGATAAGGTACGACTTCCGAAAGTATGCCATATAATGTTATTAATTATTATTCAACTAAAAGAGTTATGTGGTTCAGCTTTATAATAATGACTGCATTTCTTTCCTAGAGCTTCTCAGAGCCTTTAAAAGATTAAAATAAATTTAGAGTCCTCAAAAGAAGGGCCTTCATGTAGAGTGTGTGTGCACGCACGCGCGCGCAGCACGTGCACGTGCCCGTGCCCGCGCCTCTTCTTACATAACAACAGAACTCTCCTATGGAACTAACATTTTCAGAAACAAGCCTGGTAAATTCTGTATTTGGGTTGATAAGAAACCTATAATCTAAACAGGTAAATTAGGAAATTTCCTATCAGTGAAATGGTATTGCAACAGATACCATACAATGAACACTTTGGCATTTTAAAACATTGATTATATTTAAACAGTGGACAAGCTTCAAAGAGTAGATGGTAAAAGAAAATCCGTTAAAATTGTTTAAAGTTTTCAAAAAAGATTCTTAATTTGACCATGGTGTAGTATGATATCTTACTTCCATTTTGCTTAACATGATGCAGGAGTAAATGGCGAAAGTATGAATCAAAAAAGGAGGAGGGTAAGAAAAAAAAATTTTTTTAATGTATTTCTTAGCTACAACAATAAACATAAGTTGAAAATAATGCTGCAGTTAACATAGGGATGCCTATATCTTCTCATATTAGTGTTTTTGTTTTCTTCAGGTAAATATCCAGAAGTGGAATCACTGGTTCATATGGCATTTCTATTTTTAATTTTTTGAGGAACCTCTGCATACTACCTCTGTATACTATTTTCCACAGTGGCTGCACCAATTTACTTTGCCACAAATAGTGCATGAGTTCCCTTTCCTCCACATCCTTGCCAAGACTTGTTATTTCTTGTCTTTACTAGCCAAAGGGGATAAAGAGGTACAAACTTCCAATTACAAAATAAATAAGTCACAGGGATGAAAAGTACAGCATAGGGAATATAGTCAATAATATTGTAATAATTTTGTATGGTGACAGATGGTTAACTACACCTATCATGGTAAGCATTTCATAATGTATGTAATTGTTGAATCACTATGCTGTATACCTGAAACTAGTATAGTATTATCTATCAACTATACTTCAAAAAAGAAAAAAAAAAAAGAAATATCATTTGAATTAGAGTGTCTCTACATAGCATGCAATGTTTCCCAGCTGGTTAAATTACAATATTCTAAATTATCAGGCATCATAAATTGTAAGAATATGTAGAAATGGACAAGTCTACGATCCATTCAGCCTTTGGGGGAACTATTGCAAGAAAATATACTTGGGTTTCTACAGAAGCAATGAAAAAATAAACAAAAACAAAAGTGAATTACATAATCTTCTTCCCTTGGCAACAAGCTTTTCTTTACTCTGACACCCAGCACTGTAAAGCAGTCTCAGTTGTTCAATTGAAATATATGCTCACTCACTCATTCACACTGTACAGTCTGCTATGCTGGTAGAAGTTGTCCATATTCACAGCAAGAGCCAGGTAAACACTTTGTATCATCAAATTATAATGATTACACATTTTTATAAGTCATGACACATCTCTGTGAGGGCTATCTATCATCACCTCTTGAGTGAGACCACATGCATTATAGCTATATGGCAAGAGGATGCTGTTGACAGGAGCATCAGTGAGCCAGTACTAACTAATAAGCATGCACAAGAAACAGGGCCATGTAGTGGGTGCTTTAAAGTTCATGATAAAGAACAGCATCCCTATCTTCTGGTAGTATCATTAACAAAAAGCATTTATTATCACACAGAAGAGGAATCTGTGATCCAAGTCAAGGATCAAACACCAGCTGGCTATTAATTCAGTGTGGTGGAACTATGGAAGACTCTCCTAACACATGTGGAAGTGCAGCAAATAAAAAGAGGGAGTATAAGACTCAAAATGAACTTTAGAGACAAAAATTATACATAGTTAAATGTCAGCAATACAAAATTACAGAAAGATTGGAATAGCTTAAGCTGGAAAAAAAAAAGGTTTTTGTTATATTTGAGAAAAAATATTCATACTCCTCTAACTACTAAAATTTTGGACATAATTTATGGCAACACAATGTTTCTTTACTAAATATGAAAATTATGTGATAGAATCTTTGGACAAAATTGTACTGAAAGTGAAATTATAATGAAAAAATTTTTTAAATGCATCTTCTCTCTCTTGATCAAGGATACACATTTATGACATGACTACACAGAGATGAGGATACAATCTGGGCCCACACAGACCAGATCAAAGCTAATTGGACTTTGTAGCAAACGAAGTCATGACCTAGACCTCATTAGTCATGATCTAACCAACTGAGCTTGCGGGCCATAGAAAATACATGTTGACTTGAGATATTTACTTTGAATCATTTTTGCACTTAAATGGGCCTCATAATTTTAAAGTCTACTTTTGAGATGCTATTTTTCTAAGGTTTATGAATGAATGAACTCACTATCTCATATTTACCTATTATGTGGGAGACCCTAATGTCAGTGGCAGAGTAGTTTAAAAGGGTACAAGGTAAGGTGCAGAATTCAGAATCATAAATAGGAGAAGAAAATATAAAAAATAACTATAGTACATAATTTTACAGTGACAACTAATGTTTACTGAGTGTTTACTATTTCATAGATGCTACACAAAGCACTTTTGGTAAGCTAACTTATCTCCATATCAGAGAGAAAAGAAGAAAAGCAGGTTGTATATCTTCCACGAAGTCCCACACTCTAGTTATCTCTCCACCCTACCTTGGGCTGATGAAAAATGACTGTGATAGATACTGTAGAGTTAACTCTCTCAACACTCATTCCACCTGCCCTTTCCCTTGCTGCCTCCTACCATATAGACATGAAAACTACAAACACGTACTTCCGAATTCCCTTGTGACTAATATGCTACCTCTGGACTTCCTGTTACCTGACAAAAAAGAAGTCCTAATTTGTTTAAACTTCTGTTTGTCATATTTTCTGGGATTCTCTGTTGATATAATACTGTAATGAAGGTAAGGTGAAATACTATAGAAATTGAGAACCAAGTGGTAACTTGGCCCTCCCATAGAGGGGTGGCAGGGCTTTACCCGGGATGCCTTTCAAATAGAGAGCAAACTAGGTAGGGGATGGTGCACCCATGAACAAAGATATATAATGACTTTACTCTGGTGTTCTTGTGACAGATACATCACAGGAAAGAATGCAATGACAACAGAACTGAGTGGCTGAATGACCTCTAATGTAAATGGACAAATTTACATTATTGTTGATACCAAGGACATGACTAGGGCAGGGGGGCAACTTGAGAAAGAAAAATAAGATATACTGAGTATCAGGCACTTTTATGTAGAGGAAGTATTTCATTTAATAAATGCACAAAAACATCCTTCTAATACACTAGTTTTATATTAGTTTATAAACAAACATACAAAATTCACCTTATTTATAAAAAAAGCATAGGTTTTATAAGACATTATTATAGTATAGAAATCACTGACAAGGGGTATATGTTTTCTCAACCTAGTGAAAACCATTAAAGGACACAACAATTTCAATGATTTAAAATATTCTGCTGGGTTAAGTGAGAGGAAAATGAACACATGTTCTCAACAAACAGAGACAAAGCTCTGGAACAGATTAATATCAATATTCTGTTCTGATACAAAATTACCGTGAAAACAAGGAAACAATATGGGACTAGGGGTATGTGTCTGAAAGTCCATTATTTTTCTCCAACTAATGAGGGGAATTAAAAAGACTTGCACACATAAACTTACATCGCTCCATTGGTATAGACGGGATCGCTTCCTTCAACATACTGAACCTGAGCTGGATAGACATGCTGTACCTGCTGCACAGTCTGTACCTGCTGTACCTGGAAAACAAACATCGGGACCTTGGTGAGTGATGTATGAAACAGGACACATGATGTTAGCTTCACCTCACAGATTTCTCTAGGGTACTGATAAACATGAGAATGGCTTAGGATCAGACTATCAAGTTCATGCTAATTTCAAGATAAATGCATGCTGGCTTCAAATCAACTGTAGTAATTATGCTGAAATAGCTCTGTAACATTCCTGCAGGTTAGAAGTACATATATATATATACTTTAAATATTTAGGGTAAAGATTCTGAAAGTTCCTTATTTTGATGATTTATGAAAGTCTCTCCATCTGATTTGTTAAAGCTAGATTTATTTTTTAATGAAAAAAATCATGATGGGAAATTGCAAGTACTAAATATAGAAAAAATACTATAATAAACCCCATGTATTCATTATCTAAGGTAAATAATTGTCACCAGACCTTGCCTTTTAGTCCCTCACAGGATTCTTTAAAAGCAGATGCAAAGAGGATACCATTTCACTGATACTTCATTTATGTTTCTAAGAGACAAGAACTCCTTTTAACATGAACACATCACCAATATCACATATAAAACATTAACAATTTGTTAATATCATCTGAAATCCAGTCACTGTTCAAATTTCTTTGATTATTCCAATGCCTTCTTAGAGTTGTTTTTCTCAAATCAGGATCCAGACAAGGTTTACATATTACACTTGGTTGATATTTCCTCTTTCTCTTTTAATCTCTAACAGTTTCCCATCCTTTTGTTTTTTGACTATTACTTCTTGAAGAAACTGTATACTTGTAGATCTTGTAGAATTTCTGGAATTCTAGATTTTGCTGACTATATCCCTGAGATGTCATTTAATAAGTTCTTCTATATCCTTTATGTCCAGTAAACTGGCAGTTAAATTGAAGGCCTTGAGCAGGTTTTAGTTTTGAAAAATTTGTGTACTGCCTATTGCATTATATTGGTTGCCATACAACAACTGGCTGACTCCCTTTCTGCAGTGTTACATACAATCAGCAGAGTCCAGTATTTTCAACTGGATCCATTTATTATAATGTTTCCTACCCATGTTTTAGCTGAGGATATTCACAGCCATTGATGATCATTTTCTAGAGATAGTATCTCAATTAATAAAGGCTGTAAACCTTAGTAGTCTAATTCTATTGTTTCTTCTCTATTTACTAGTAGATGAATATAAAGAAATTCCTGTCATTAATTATTGGTTATTTGAAATAAGGTTCATACAGGAAGAGCAAGATAACCATATGATTCTTTTCTTTACCAGTACTCAGAATAATGATTATATCCTTTAGCTTCTTCCCAAAGTGAGCAGTTTGGTTTGGTTTAGTTTAGTTTATATCCTTAAGATTCTTGGCTTTTGAACATAATTGATGTTTTTCAATCACAGCAGTTATTTTTCTTATTAAAATTGTCCCATCTTTGACCAATGGTGATCCCTTCAAAATGTATCCTTACCTTTTGACATGACCACAGTAATCTTTCTTAACTCCTTCGCTTTTGGTTGTGATAAGATTTTCCAGACTTAGCTTTTATATTTCCTGTTCTACATCTAGAATCAAACATATCTTCACCTAACTTCTATTAGTTAGGAGTTATATAAACATGTAAAATCTATTTAGGAAGCAGTTGGAAACAGGCATACTATTTGATAGCCTTGTGATTTCTTCTACAAGAGGATTTACTGGTGGAAGAGCTGCTGTACAATATTATGTTAAAAATTCAGTTCCTAAGAACAAAAAAGTTAGAAGAGAAAACCTTAGTGACTGAAAAACAGTGATTATATAAATTATAGCAAAACCATTCTACAGCATATACGGCCGATGTTAAAAGAATAAAGTAAGACTGATATGTACTTTAAGAGTAAGATCTCTAAGACATTATCAAGTGAAAAAGTATGTTACAGAACAATAGGTACAGTGCCATTTGTTTTAAAAATATGTACATATTTGCATATATGTGCTCATATGTATAAAAATTAAAAATGTATGTTAAAATATAAAAGGGAGAATAAAAAGATACACATCAAACTTCTAAAAATGGTTACTCTGTTGAATGACATGAAATGATATGGCAGAGAGAAGTTGACTGGCATCTATTATTCTGCATATTCATACTGCTCTTGGATTTTAAAAATGAAAATGAATTCATATATTACGTACATAATATGTCAAATACATAAATCAATATATAGAAGGACTTCACTTCTGCCACAATAAATACTACTGGAAATACCCTCCTCACATTAAACAAGTAGAAAACAGGACAAAATATGTAAAATAATATTTTCAGTTACTTGGCAGAAGGCATCATAAGATTGTGATCCCTAAGAGAAAGTTAACAAAGAAGGTGCTCCAACAATGACCCTGACGTTTGAGATGGTGACATTTTCCATACTGTAGAGCAGGAAGGAGAAAGCCAAGTACAGCACCGTGACTTCACTGGGGTAAGGAGACAGATACTGGAACAGGGAAAGCTGAGGCAGCTGAAATTTGGGGGCAGTATAAAAGAGAGGATAGTAAGCAGAGAAATACATTCAGAAATATTAACAGAGATCCCCTTGACAATGATAGTGATTACTACGCTGCAAATGTGTAGGATGCAGAGATATTCAAGTTCTGACCAGACATAGTGATATGACCTACTGAACACACAGGGCATTCTATAGAAATACCAGAAAGGCAAAGCTTTAGTAATAGGGCTAAACTAGCTGCATGCTAAGACTACTTTAGGTCCATCTTAACAAAACAGAGAAATAAGCCTTGAAAAGATAAAGTTTATCCACTTTATTGCCTATACAAAACAAAATTTAACACTGTTAAAGGGAGATGCAATACATCAAAATGTGTGGAGTGCAGTTAGAGCCATGCATAAAGGGAAATGTATAGTTTTAAACATTATCATTAGGAAAAAACCTCTAATGCAATAAATCTAAAGTTGCAATATTAAGAATCTAGAAAATGAAGAATAAACTAAGGAGGAGAAAGGAAATGAAGAGCAAAGGTCAACAAAATAGATATTTGAAAAACAACAGAAAAAATTCAATTTAATGATAAACATTAAAGTAGTCAGGAGAAAAAGAAGACACAAATTATGAATATTGAGGATGAAAGGAGAAACAAATTTTAAAGACAAAAAAATGGATAATAAAGACAACTTAATGCCAACAAAATCAACTACTTACATAAAATGAAAAAAGTCCTTAAAAGAAACAATCACTAAAATTGGCAAAAAAAAAAAAAAAAGAACAACATATATGTGAAATTGAATTTATTCCCACAGAAGAAACTCCAGATGCAGATGGCTTCACTGGTAAATTCTATCAGACATTTCAGGAAGAAAAAATAGCCAATCTAACACAAATGATTTACAAAATAGAGAATAAGGTAACATTTCTCAACTATTTTATGAAGCTAGCTTTTTCCTAAGACCAAAACCAGAAAAGACCTTCCAAGAAAAAAAGATTATAAAATGATTTCTCTCATAAACATAAATACAAAAATCTTTAATAAAGTAAAAGTAGCTCTAATCCAGGAATATGCTTATCACAGTTAGATGAAACAACTCAAGGATACAAAATATTATTAATACCATCTAAACTTTAGTGGGTATTTTCAAACACAGGTTCTTTGCTTCCTTATAATCCTCTATTAAAATTTTCCACATTCTTGCAAACTTCACACATAGCTCATGTTGTTTTCTTTACATCAATTTTCTCTTCAATGACTGCAAATACACTATTTCCTTCTGGGCCCTGATTAAAAATTTAGTCTCTCTAAAAGAGCTTTTGTAACTTATTTTATCCCATGAGAGACTATTCCTTTCTTTTTCCTCTCTTAGGACTTATTAATACAGGTGGAAGTGCATGGCTTAGTACTACTTTATGTCTTCAATTGGTTTCCTGCATGGTAGCCAATATGGTGAGGTAGCAAAATGAGTTAATTTGGAAATAGGAGAACTGATTTTAAGTCCTTGTGCTGATACTTGCTGAATGTATACTGGGATAGTCAACTCATTTCTTTATATAATGATTTCCTTTTATGCAAAATAAAAGTTATATTTACTCTATTATAAAGGATTTTTTTGAGGACCCAAATTATTACATACAGATACAAAGCATGTTATAGAAATATGTAATTATAATACATCTTGAATAATCAGTGAAATTATTAAATATATCAATTATTAAATATATCATTTCATCTTTATATTCCATTTGTTCAGCCATAAATATCCACAATAAATGTTCATAACAGGTTTATAAATCACAAGAGTCTATAAATAGAAATGAAACTCAGTGTGAAGAATCTTGAAAAGAAGTCTGGATAGATGCTACGGATAGAAATATATAGAAATATGACTCTTGATCACATCAAGACTTTACAAAACATTGTAAAAATAGGGCATAATTCTTTGTATTGTCTACCAAGTTAAGAAACAGACAAAGTAAATGGAAGACCAAACTAAATAGTGAAAATATTTAACTACAGCATATTTTGGAGGTAATGCAATTTTCATCATTATCCAGCATGTATGGTTTTTCAATCAACCATTAGAAACTAAATTATTTTAAGAGCCCCTCAAAACAGTTTAGTGTTGGTAAGAAATTAAATTGCACATAGCATTCATAGTTTGAGAAGGTATTCTTTCAAGGTACAGTGAGAGTAAAGGAAGTAAAAAAGAGGGGTAAAAAAGGACATAAAAAGAAAGGGAGAATAAAAAATAAGGAAAAGTAATTATGTATGTATATATATCTTATTTTGTAATGAGAAATTAAGTCCTTCAAAGTATTTCACTTAGTTTTTAAGTTGAGTTTGTTATTGATTTCCTTTTTTCTTTTGACAGTGGGGCTCTCTTATTAGTAAAGATATACTGGAGAGCCAACAAAAGTACTCCCTTCTACTTCAAATTAAATATAGTCAAATCCAGGAAGGTATATGCAACTACAGAACAAATATTTCAGGATATACAAACCCACTCACAGGATGGAAAAAT